TGGGCCATGTTGAAGTTCCTTTCGTCCCACGCCGTCTTTTGAGTCTTGAAAGCCTGGAGAAGGAATGTGGAGTTGTTTCAAATTCACAGGGAAAAAGGAAGGCCGGGGCCGGGGGGGGGGGGGGGGATGAAAGTGGAGACGAAAGCAGACGACAGGGGAATGAAATGAATAAATGAATACTACAATCACACGGTCAACACAGTCTCAATATTTTTGGAGTATTTGAACGCAAATACAAAATGCAGAGACTAAAAAACTGCAATCAGAAAAACACTGAAACTCATTAGCAATATTCTTCACATGTCCCCAAAGCAAAACACATTATCAGTATCAGTCAGTTCAAGTCTACCTCCAAGAGACTGGTAAGTTGCAACTGAAACTTCTGAATTGTGTAATTCACAAATGCTGAAAATTCACAAATCTTCCTCTCATTTTATATTGTTTTAAAAAAATACTTCTTCTTCTTTTGTTGTTGTTGTTGTTGTTGTTGTTGTTGCTGCTTTGCCTGTAACACGAGACCAGACAAAACAAACTCAACTTTGTTCCAACAAGACAACAAATTGCATGAAAAAAAACATTCCCTCCGTGTTGTTTTAGATTCCACTCACACCGAAATTGCTTTGATTCACTTACAAGGTAAAAATCCCTCTCAAATATTACTGTAAAAACCAACCAGCATTTGCCGCACTAATTCGCCACAGCCCATGCAATCATATCAACACATCCTGAGCTTGAGATAAAGATCCCATTTACTCTACAGCTAAAGTTATGCATGCAGTTATTCCAAACGGGGTCAAAGATATCAGATAAGCTCGCTTATATATAAAGTTGTAGTTGCAGTTATGATAAATCAGCGGAAATGTAGCGACGCGTTGCCCAGAAAATATTTCAATGAAGGGTCATTCCATGAAAAATATCACTGTTGTGACACACATAAACACAGAGGGGATGATCTGCTGGTTCTTTACAGTGAGAGAGCCATTCTTTACAGGGAGAGAGCCATTCTTTACAGTGAGAAAGCCATTCTTTACAGTGAGAAAGCCATTCTTTACAGGGAGAGAGCCATTCTTTACAGTGAGAAAGCCATTCTTTACAGTGAGAAAGCCATTCTTTCTTTCTTTAAAAATTTTTTCAATGTTAAAGAGAGGTTGCCTCCCACAAGAAAAAATAAAAATAAGTAAGAATAACGGTTCTATCGTTGTTCATATTTTTTTGCGGCACATCATCCACCATCCTCACATTATACCCAGTGCCCATTGGAGGATCGACAAACCGATCACCTGATTTGTGGCCTGTAAACAAACGTGTTAGTTTTGGAGGCTGTGGGTTGGGCGTTCGGTTTGTGCCACGACGGTCGTTTTGTGCCCTAGTCTATCTGAATAGCCCCCACCCCCGCCTACAAAACTGAACAGAACCGATCGTTCCAATGGGCAACCCTTATTACATGTCGACTGCTCAGTGCAAGACTCCGTCATACGCCACTTGACAAAATGGCAGAAAGCAGATTTTTACACTGAGCAGTTAGTGGGTCACTGCAGTCTCACTTGTGATGGAATGGCCCTTTTGCTTTGTATAGGTTTCACACCCCAACCAACACTATTAGGTGATTTAAAAGGCAGGGCCTCTAAGCTTAACCCTATCCGTAAGCCTTGGGGTCATTTTGTACCCCCGGGGTTATATTCTTCACATTTTAGAACACATCTAGTACGAAGATCTCTTTGAAACTTTCAGTATTTCTCAAAAAATCATTTTGACAGACTGATATGCAAAGCCGGATTAACGAGTAAATTTCCTCTTTGGAAGTGGAGGCACAGAATTCTCCACGTCGTATGGATATGATAGTTAAACACGACGTACGGATAGGGTTAAGTGGTGGCACAGAGTTCTCCACGTCGTATGGATATGATAGTTAAACACGACGTACAGATAGGGTTAATGCCCATCTCCATAAAGACATAAAAAAAGCAGCACCAACCTCCAGAGGAAGCTGCTCCAAAGCTCAGAGGAGAACTCCTAAAAATGGCACCTCCACTAATGTAGTACACCGCAGCTTATCAAAATAATTTTTTAGTTTAGTTTTAGTAGAGGTTTTACGGCGCTCGGAACTGCATAAGGTCATATGAGCGCCAGAAGATTAGAGGTGTTACAAGAGAGTAACAAACATAAAAAAAGAAGAAGGGGAGTTAAGGACGACAGGTGTTTGATAGGAAAGAAGGAGCAAACCACACCAGAGCACCCGCCAACCACCCACAAATAATTTTTTTGGGGTTTGTTTGGATAATATCCATGATCCCAAGAACAAAAGCAACCCAGAAAACAAAATAAAGTCCACCATGGATAACGGAAACACACCGGAGATCGACAAATTTGTCCGATACATCCATAATTCAGGAAAACCGATAGTGCGAAAAAATAAAGAGACATCAGTGGGAGGGGAACGGCAAATTGTACGTCCTATCCGTGATTTCCAGTTGCCCTTGTTGGTTGGTGTTATCCGTGCCCAACCGTATCGCTCTCCGTATGGCCTTACCTCCTCCGCCTTTAGCCTCGTATGCAAATTTTGGATCTCCACGTCTTTTCTCCTCACCACTCCTTCTAGACGGGTCTTGTCCTTGGGGGGAACAATTTACAGAAAGAAAGAAAAAGAATATGAAAACAAAATTAAGAGAACGCCATTTTTTAAGTTTTAAAAAATGTAAGTAAGAAGTTTTTTGGCACTTGCAACACAATAAGGTCATATAAGTGCCGAAGAATAGATGTGTTACAAGAGGGTAACATACACAAAAAAAGGAGAGATTTAATAAGGACGATAGATGTTAGATAGGAAAAAAGGAGCAAACCACACCAGAGCACCCGCCAACCACCCACGGGAAAAAAATTAAGAGAACGTCAGTTTGTTTGAGTAAAGAGAAGAACAATATCAAAACAGTCACGGACATTAAGCGCACGCAAAAAGGGAAAAAAAAAGCAAGAGAGAGAGAGAGAGAGAGAGAAAGAAACAACAGAGGGAAAAGAAAGATGCAAGACCTGCCAGTGACCCCACCCTCCAACCACCGGCTCTACTGTACTTTCGGTCGGTTCTACTGTACTTTTGGTTACTACAAAGTTTGTGTACACGAAGCATCCCTTGCTCAAGGGAGAGTGCAAAAACATCATATAACAGCACCTGGAGCAAACGAACAAACCACACCAGACAACTTGCCAACAACCCACTCTCAACTAAATGATCTAAACTGTATTGATGGGGCCGCAAAACATCTATTTTCAATTATTGTTGTTGGCTTGTAGTCAACACAGAGAGCTAACATGGCAAGGTACGGCAAGGCTTGAAAACATATAACAGCAACATTGAAAGAAGTAGAAAAATAAGATTGCATTAGAGAGAACACAAAATAAGCTGCTTTCAGTTTTGTTTTAGTAAGAGTTTTACGGCACTTGCAACACAATAAGGTCATATAAGTGCCGAAGGTGTTACAAACAAGTAATAAACACAAAAAAGAAGGAGGGGAGATCAGGACGATGGACGTTTGATAGGAAAGAACGAGCAAACCACACAGAGCACCCGCCAACCACCCACAAATACGTTGCAATAACCATTTAATTTTCCTTGTAAAAGTGATATTAATCCAGTATTAATATGATCATTTATCATCATTTCGCTTCATTAATACGAAAAGCAAAAAAACGAAAGACATTCCAAACTCAAGACTACCTGAGGTAGCAAAGAGACATATTTCAACCAAACAATCAATTTTCACCATTTTCTCCAGACTCACAAACTCCAGCTGACAAGAAAAAATGTAACAAGACCAAATTAAAAAAATTTGTGGAGATCAACAAAGGGAAAACAATGTTGTTGTTGTTGTTATCGATCCAGCAACAGCCGGGTTCTCGCCCTTCTGTCCAATGCCATGTAGTGATAAGTGCAGGTCTGCTGCAGTTGCTGTAATGTTCCATAGAGAGTGCTGTCAATGTTAGGTCTCGGGGGGAGAAAGGTAGCTCAGATGTCATTTAGGGCTTAGCAGTGGAAAAGGTGATGATCCACAGTCTCATATGCATAATCACACAAAGGACACATTGGGGGAAGTTTTGGAGGGAAAGCAATAAATTTTTCCAAAATCCTGTATCATCATATGTACCTCCTCCAAAGGCTTGATACTTTCCACTGTCGACCTCAGCTGTTCTGACAGCAGGGTGGAGTCTCTGCGAACAAAAACAATTTTTAAAATGAAAAGAAGAAAAAAATAAGTAAAGTAACATGAGGCTCAGGAATCGTAATTCTTAACATCGCCATTCCACCCTGGTATTATACTTATGAGGTCTTGTTTCAGTAAGTGTTTTACGGCGCTCCCAACTGCATAAGGTCATAGGAGCGTCCGGGACACATTTACCACTTTTAAGGGCTCTCGTGACCTAGAGGTCAAGGTGTTCGCCTCTCATTCAAAGGTCTCCGAGAAGGCTTCGAGTTAGATCTTACCTACTCTAAGATCAGGGGCGTGGCTGAAAGACAGCAGTAAGAAGGAGCCAAGGAGTGGCAGTAGAAAGGCTGTGAAAAGAATCAGGAGCCTAGAGAAGGGGGCCAGAAAGTGGAGTCGAAAGCAGGTCTATATAAGCTCAAACACAGAACATCAAACAGCACAAAGGGGATGCCCAGTAAGGCCAAAATTGACCAAGCCCAAGCACTCATTTAAAGAGCACTTAAACTCTCTACAGTTTCTAGTTTTTCTGTGTTCTTCATTTGCACTGATTTTTAACTCAGTTTTCTTGACACCCCCCCCTGAAAACTTAAAGGTCTTTTCTACAACAAAACAAAATACTTTCAGGATAAAACCAGAATATTGGAAACTAGCTTGGCCCCCTTTCGATGAAAGGAATGATCGGTGCATTAGCATCAACTGAAAGTCATTGGCCTACTATATTTACACTCTACTGGAATGGAGCAATAACTCTTGAGAGAAAAGTGACAAACGTGTTTCCAGTTGTCAAATAATAGATGTATAGATTGAGTCTCTATTCTCCTTTCGTGGTTGTACACTCCAGAATTTCAAAGGTGTGGTATCAGTGCACACGACTAGTGAACGGATACCTCACTTGTTCACAATGGCGTCTTAGAAGACGAACTTTCCCAAGAGTAGATCTAAACGAAACTAATGAAAACTGAAAAATTAAACTACAGTGACTTCAGACTCCTCAATATAACTGTGCACCCTTTGAATGATTCTGAACGACAATAATTTTTTCAAATTCGAAAGTTAAGTGGTTGGGAAGTTTTAGGCTGCCAAAGTGACGGACTTTCACAAATCTATTATCTATTTGTGGTGGCCGAATTTTGCTATTCTAAAAGCTTTTTGATGGCTGCATCGATCGACATGCGGTTTTCGCCAAAAGATTCTTGAAAATATTCTCCAGAGCATGACGCCCTTGGTTTTTTCAGTTTTTAGACTGTTTTGCTGCAAAAAGCTAAAATTCTTTATTTCGCCGATAGCTTTTATAGGCCGACGCTTCTGTCTCTGTAATTTTAGAAAATCAGGAAACGATATTTTGCGAGGCGCATTTTGTTTTGAGAGTATAGATCTAGATCTTATATTTTTTTGCATCTCTCAAGATTTATTGCCCCATTCCAGTAGAGTGCAAATATAGTAGGCCAATGACTTTAGTTGATATTAAAGCACCAATCATTCCTTTCATCGAAAGGGGGCCCAGCTAGTATAACATATATAGATTCCAACAGTCTGAAGGGGACTCAAAGGAAAAAAAAGCAGCAGAAAATATAGTACTCAAAGTCATTGTGCAAATGTGCATAGATTTGTACGCCTTGTAACAGTGAACAGATTGCAAGAAAGAGCCACTCACCTGTTGGCTTGAACCAGTTTCTTCTTCAGGCTCTCTACCATTCCGACCTGAGCTTCACTCTGTGCTACGCGTTAAGGAAAACACACAACACACAGTGCGTCGCATCTCACTAGTTCAACAATAGTTCAACCATACAAGGTGCAACTTTCTTGCCTCAAAAATTTTAGCTTGAACACATTCTCAGCCAAAGCCAAGCAGAAACAACAATAATTTGACAGTTTTCATATTAATTTGATAAATTTCTGCTCTAAGATCATAAACATCTAGACACATGAAGTCATTCTAGCTATAAAACTCTGTAAGATCACAAACATCTAGACACATGAAGTCATTCTAGCTATAAAACTAACAGTAACAAAAGCCGAAAAGCCAAACCGTTACACACCAGTCACATTTACCATAATAATTGTCTGTATACAAGAAACCAGTGAGAAGACTGGAGGCTACTGAAAGGTGGTGGTTAACCTTATCCGTACGTAGTGTTTGACTATTGTACCCATACGATGTGAGGAACTCTGTGCCACCACTTTCCAAAGAGGAAATTTACTCGTTTATCTGATCAGCACGCTTAGTATAGCAGTCTGTCAAAATGATTTTTTGAGAAATACTGAAAATTTAAATGAGATTTTCGAATTAGAAGTATTCTAAAATGTGAAGAATACAACCCCGGGGGTACAAAATGACCCCAGGGCGTACGGATAGGGGTACGGAGAATACTCAGAATCTCATGGACAGAAAGGGAAACAAATAGAGAAGTGCTCCGAATGGCAGGCCCTGAAAGATCTATGGTCAGAACCATCAGAAAAAGACAACTGAGATTCTTCGGCTACATAAATAGATCAAATGGACAAGAGAAACTGCTGCTCTGTTGTTTTAGTAAGGTTTTACGGCGCTCGCAACTGCATAAGGTAAAATGAGCGCCAAGGGGTGGATGTCAACAGAGAAGTCTAAACGGGGAATCAGGCTTACTCTGCTCCCCTCTCTAGTCTCAACAGCACAAAGTCTGCTCACCTCTCTAGCCTCAACAGCACAAAGTCTGCCTAGACTATCAAGGCATCCCGGTAATAGCAGTTCACAAGAGAGTGACAAACATACAAAAGAAGTAGGCCCTACAGGAAAAATGGGATTAGTATGGTTGAGAAAAGAAAAAGCAGCAGTTCCCCCTATGTTGTTCCGGCACAGTATGAGCGTGACATTTGATCAATCAGCACATTTACAATTCTACTGTGCATAAGGACAAAAGACACTTCAGTCAGTGGCACCGCCCGGGGGACAGCCTGCGGTGTGGACAGACATCTGGGAGAGAAGAGCAAAGAAAGAAAAAGAACAACATACACAGATGGCCAGAACAACTTTGCAAAATATAACTCAAAGACGAAAACCAAGCTGATCAAGATGACAGACAACCGGAGGGAATGGAGCGCCGTGGTTGTCAATGTCTGCTCCAGACCTGACACCCACAGAAGCATACATGAAACCCCTACCTACTGTCAGCTTTCCAGTAATATGAGATCCAAGTATTAAGATTGCTTTTTCATAACTCAAATCAACTTCTCAAATTAAGAAAAAGGATATCATCTTGTTTGCTTTTAAATCTTCGGATAACCAAGCTGTGGAAAAGAGAAAAAAAGCGAAATGCAAAATTGGACACAACTCAAACAGAAATAAAATCAAACACAAAGTATTATTTTTTGTATCATGTTCCTTTTCTTCCTATTATTTCATGAAGGCTGATGACACCTGCATGAATATATGGTCGCTTTTAAGCACAAGGGGGCTATCCCGAAAAAACCTGTTTTGAGAAAATCAAAGGTACAGTTTTTGCCCTTTGTTCAGTTTCTTTAAAATTCAAGGAGAAATATACACACCAATGAAACCAAACTTCTCCTATAGGTAGAGCAATGCTCACTTTTGGGGTTGGTAAAGATTTCTGGAAATCCCCGAAATCTGGGTTAGCCCGAATGTACTTAAAAGCGACCATATACGTTTAGAATTTCAAGTTTTTATTACATGTAATTCCTACATAGATCTTCTCCAGCACTCAATCTTTTCTAATAAAATGTTTGAATCAAATATACGTTTTCCCCACCAATAGGTCAAGTAATGTGAATTGACAAAGGCTCTTAAGACGGACAGTCCTCTGAGTGTGCCCTGAATTTTGAGCTGAAAAACTGCTACAACAACTAATTACTAATAAATGTTCTTGGTAGCACATTAATCAAGATAGAGTCAAAGTTATGAAGTACCTCTAAAGAAAAGACATGCAAGCAACAGATAGTTATTTGATTCCTTTAGGCCCTAATAAATTACACATTTGAAATGGTACAAACAAACAACTAAAGCACTACAATTCCAGGATTATAATCCCAAACGTTATCCCCCCCTTCAAAAGAAAAAAAAAAAGTTTAAATTACGGTAACTTTTTATTCTCACACTAAATCTATGAGAATTTTAAAAAAAAGTTCTTTAAAAGAAATTGGGAATTTTTTTCAGAATCAAGAGCAAGAAAGTTCCCACAAGCAAACCGGCTTTATGAATGCTTGAGCTTTTATCTACAATACAATGAATGTCTACAACACTGGTCACTTACTCTGTTCCAATAATTTTCTTCTTAAGGAACTGGAAATTTGTACGATGCTCCTGATCCATGCGTTCCATTTCCTGAAAAATAAGAAGCAAAGCATGTTGAAAAAAACCCGCACCATAAATTTAGTGGAGAACATAACGTTTAAAGTTAAGACATTCACTATTCATTTATTTACCTAACAATTATATTTATGGCTATTTTAGGTTATTCTGAATAACATTTAGTATTCCTACGTATAAGTTGATATTATCATAATGGTATTCAAGGTCACCCTGTTGAAGTAGAATGCAAAAGCAAACTGCTTTAATGCTATACTGTGAGCAATTTGTAATGAATCAATCAGGCCGAAGGCCACATTTGGTTGTTTTTCCTCTCTGTTCCCATGTAACATCGCAATGGGGGTATTCATTGACATTGCAACACTTAAAAAAAATATGATGGAATGTAGTTAAAGCCTATCACTTCACACAAATTTATAGGCAAACATAGATATTAGATCTAAGATCAAGGTTCATTTTTGCTATGAATGACTATGGGTCAATTGATCCACTCAGGCCAAAATCAATTGGTCAATCTTGAGAGTGATGGGTCAAGTTAGTAGGCAACATGCATGGAGAGTTGTTCTCGGTTGTTTTTGCATTAGTTAAAGTACATGTCATGATGTAAGTGTTTTACGGAGAAATAGTGGATCAATGACTTACTAACAATGCCTGCTTGTGATGCTGGAAATTCCCACCCCTGCCCTCCCTTTACTTTGACTAGCAATGACAACGAAAAATCAAATTTTTATCCAAATTGCTTAAAAACAGGCTTAAATGAAAATAAAGTAAATTCTAAGAACTATTGTTTTTACATTAAAAAAATCTATTGATAAATAAAAAAAGTTATTGGCATTGCAAAATTTTGGGGGACTTTCATAGAGGGAAATAACGCCAAAAAGTGGGACATGTCTTGATGTATTTTGAGGAAAAACTGTTCATAAGTCAGTAATGAATTGGAGTATATAGTATATGAATGAGACTTGGCATTTCCATGTGAATTTTAGTGCAGAATAGTTCTGCTATCACTTTTTCGATGTCTTTATTTTATTATTTTGGATCTTAAAGACTAACATTTGCGTGAAATTTGTTGGATTGCGTGCCATAGTTTTTACTGTGACCGATCACCCCTTCTAAAATTCAGTAAAGCGGTATCGGGAAAATCCGCAATGACGTCATCAGTGACCTATTTAGTCTATAGGCAACCAATCACATGCCGCCTAGCGATCACGCATGCTGGCAACTCGCGTTTGGAATGCGCAATCTAGTTTCCAGCTCTAG